TAGTCTGCACGTCCATTTTCCGAACTTTCAAGGGAATACGGAGGCAAAGCAGGAAATGTTGTGTGGGATAGACTAGATGTCAGAGGAAATGTGTCTCAATGAATTTCATTTTGTTTATACTAGTCTGCGTCACGAAGCAAGCTACAGCTGGAGGACGGCCATGGGGTGTGCTGCCACATTAATCGCGCCCAGCCACGCTCAATCAAATCGCTTGAACTGCGTCAATAACCGACTGCTACGGGCGCGAAAGCGAAGGGAGAGTCGGCCTCACGAAGTAAGGAACCACAAATGGATGCGGAACAACCTGGCATAAGGTGTTTGAAACGCACGCCAATGCCAGTTGGTGCTCAACAACCCGGAATCTGCAGCCTATAGCTTGGAAATTACGCATGTCGCGCATACGTATGAATATTGACGCGAACAAAGGCGTCCAAATAATAGCTTGACAAACTTCTTGCATTAACTTCCCAATTTCATTAGTTTCCCGTTTCGGCATTTATAGACCATGGAACGCAGGAACATTTCACTTAACGGTTCCATGATATGCCCGCGCGTTCCCATTCGACATCAGGCGACATTAGGGCGATAGTTAACGGTTTCCAATGTCACGTCTCTTATGTCCGTAAAATGCAGCGCTAAATTACACTAAAGACCCTTCGACATTTTGTAGGCGGACGAGAGGAGCGCGAAGAGTTAGAAGCGATCGACTGACCTACTGATCTTCCGAATAAGTGGTGGAGTGAGTGAAATATTGAAGGGGATTACCGACATATTTAAATGAGGCCTCGGTGTGCGCGTGAATTAGATGCGGGACATGTGCGGTGTGTTGTGTTTCCTTGTGGTGCAACACGTGACATATAAGGATGTGATCCGCAGTGAAATCGTTCAGGCACAATATTCGCATTTAGGGAAGAATTGGTGGCAGTGGATAGAGAAAACACAATCTACGGTCACATTCTCCTACATCTGCTCCCGCGGCTGTTTCTCTACGGGTTCCTCTATGGACAACGAAATGTTACCACAGACAATAGTGTCACTACATCTCAAAACATCAACAGCATTAACATCAATAACATTTTGCCTACGAAGCAGTGAGTATCATTACATCAGACCTGTTTAACATACACAATGTCTCAGGCACCATCTCCATATCAGAACCACAACGCCCCGCCGTCCACTTCTGAAATATTTTCGCGTTCGATCAATGTGAATGCACTAGCATTCAATTGTTTGAAGGTGATACGTGTTAAACCTCTAAGATTACCACAACTTTCCACATCACAACACGTCCACACATAGAACTCAGCCGCGCATACGTAAACACGTAGCAATGTTCAGTGAGATGTCTATAGTAGATTTGGAGCAATGTATCAATTTAGCGACACAATGTGTGCACGTGAACGTAAAATGGCTCACAACGTCAACTGGAATGGATTCAACGTACCGATTGCAAACTGCTGCTCAGGTGCGGCAACAGCCTCCTCTTCGGGTACTTTCACCGGTTCCTGTGCCACCTCCGCCTCAACATCCGCCTTCGTCTCAGGTTGTGCTGTGGGTTGCGTTTCAGTTTCGGTCTTGGCTACGGATCCCTCGAGTGCCTCTGGTGCAACTTCGGGTTGCAGTTCCACTTGCACCTGGCTCTCCGTTTCCTGTGATTGTGCTGAAACAAATAATCAGCTTGCATGTTTCCAGTTCACATTTGGACACATTCTCTACTACACACAACCAGCCACAGCATACCTGTAAGTTATTAAAGCGCGATGCGGGATCGGTACGCTTTAAAACCAATACGCGAAAATAAGGCCAACCTCCGATGAGTGGAGAACACCAATAGTAACGCTAGGAAAAATTTATTAAGTGGGCGAAAGGCTATCTAGTGCTAAAAATAAGGCACCGGAAGATAGCTAGCTAGGGAAAGGTGTGGTCGCGTGCGCGGAGAGCAAAGATGGCCGCGGAGCCGAGGAGCGTCGCGCCGTTCGAATGCCGATGCTATGTGACTCAAACAAACGCGACCAACGTTCAAACAGGCGAGCGGCTATTTTGCTATGTACATTGAGAAAATATAATTTTGTGATTTTGTGATATTTTACGCAGCATGCGGCAGCCAAACAGGGGAATCTCCAGGTGACTACATTATCAAATGGTGTGGGGATGCTCGGATTATCACGTTCGCAATCATACTGCGGTATTGTTTGGCATGTTGTCAAACACTGTGAATGAAGTGACAGTGCTCTGGCACTGGAGCGTAACGTCAACGACACAAATCGTCAGGGGATCATTGTAATTCGAATTCATGAGGATGCACCGTGCCACTTACCATGTAGGAGTATTGCACTTCCCTACATAATTACTTGCGTGGCGAATGCACACAGTTCTTCGACGGTACACAAGACCACCATTTCATTCCAACGTACGTACATAGAACTGCAAACTCATCACGATTAACAGCTACATTTAGCTTACATGCATCCGACTATGAGTTATCATCTCTAAAATATTCCTATTTAGCATTCAGGTTTTTTCGTTTTAATTTCGGATTCCCTACTGTGTTTTTGACGGATTTTGTTGCTAAAGCGCATCGCTGCAATAATCCAATTTCAAACGCTTTTGGACTTCCTACACTCGTTCGAAAAACCTTTGTTGAAGCGATCAATTCGACTACAAATCGTTCTTGCCTTGTTCCATTTGATGCATCTAGTTCGCATAACATACTACACTGATACTCTTTCGGCATTTTTTGGAGTTTGTGATGACGCAAATCCCATCGCCTTTCTTTGTGACCGCGTCAACCATTGCGCCGGCTTAACCTATCACACACACCAGCGCAAACAAACATCCGCCGATCGTATTTTGAGCTTTGAAGCACATCGCTCGCGGACTACGGGAGAGGACCACCGACCAATGGGAAAAGTACATAATGTCAACTAGCTCACCGGTTAATTTAGAGGCACTCTGTGGAGTATCCGAATGCGAAAAGATGCAAATCCGGAATGGTTCCAGTTGAATTATAAATGTGGTTTGGCTGAATGAATGCGACTAGTTAACGCTGGTCTACCCTGCTCACACTATTTCATGTGGTACAAATCGAAGTACGAAAATATGTCCCAACCACACATGAGAATTCGAAACAACTCCCAAGACAACCTATGGATTTGTACTGCGTGTTTGGCAAACCCATTAGTCAAATGTTTACTTCTCCTCGGCCAAAGGTGTGACCGATCAGCAGAAGAAGTTGAACAGCAAATGAACGCTACGATTACATGATTGGAAACAATATTATGCCAGGACAAAACAGTGGTTTCTAAGAGAAGAAATGGTGGCCGAATAACAAGCGAGCAAATTCCCATTTTCGCTGTCTCCTTCACTTGTGGTAGAACGCCAAGCGAAATCAGACCGTGGCTCTAATATTCAAACGGCACTCAGCACCACGAAAATCAGGCAACACCAGGAACGTGCGATCGATCAAATGCAGCCGGTCTTAATAATTTCTACCATTAGCATCGATTGGGCAGCCGAACACGAGTGCACTGCACTGTAACACAGGGGTCTCGGGTCGAGTTCCAATTATGCTTGACTTCATTCGCATATGTATAGATCGCTGCACAAATACCTGGGGCCTTTACATTTGGTGCCTCCTTTTTGCAAGCACCGCCAACGCGATTAGATAGACAAACAGTGGACAGTCATCATTTGGCATAAAGCCAGGACTAACGATCAGCCGAGCATGTAGCTCAACGAAAAAGGGCTCAGATAATAACGCCCTGACTGTTGTGTTCACATATGTCCCCGAATCTACCGCTATCACATTGCGCGGCAAGTTGTCTGATGAACAATGCCAGCGGAACTGACTATGCTTTTTGCTGAAAGTAAAAGCCAGAGCGGCCAACCTAGGGAGAATTACTCCTCACCCGAACTCTGCACATTTTGACGAAGCTGGGTTCGTCAGATCAACACCACAATCCGCCATCGATGTAGAAATGCATTTTACTCTCTGCAAGTGCGCGAAAACACGGGTCCGGTAGAGTACACATCTACCCTGCGGTCCCATCGGAGCACGCGACAATCGGAAAGAAACATCTCAGAACGACCCAGCAAGCTGGATTTTCTGAGCACAATCGTTTGTACAGCATATCACTCACCAACTTATAGCGGAGGCGTAAATAGAATCCTAAAACTCATGGTTTATCAGTGAAAAAAGCAAGGGAATTGTTAAAACGTTGCCGGAGACATTGGAGAAGCTTTCCATCTGAAGTGCTGAAAACTTGCATAGACCAGTCATAAGTCTATGCGGAGAAAGGAAATCTACCAGCGGTTACGCAGTAGTACCACTTCACCGCTCGGTCATGCAATTCTGCAATATGTCTGGAAGAGGAATGGGACATACGTTAGCCAAATCAATTTGCGGATGATGCGTAATCATCATCCCATGAAATACGCCTAACGATCGACTTTACTTCGGTCGGCATTCTACCACACTTGACACCTTCAGCTCGCTGTGAGATACTAAATTCCGAGCAGCCATACTGCTTTCATACCGGTGCTAACGGTCGTTTCAGTAAGTTAGCCGCATGAAAGATCGCCAACATCCGAAGCCACGCGATATCATCGGCATCAGGGAGAACTGGTTACACAAAGGAACGCCAGACGCTGCGGATTCACTGAAGAGCATGTAACTAATTAGAGACGATAGACTCGCGAAAAATGGAGAGGTAATACTTTAATACCTACGCAAACTGAATGCGAGGCCATTGTGATATCAGATTCACAGTTCGCCGATTCTCTTTGGTGCCAACTGCAATTACATGGCAGTGACGCCGGCTTGCAGATTTGACTTACCACACCCAAACTCCACACCGGAAATGAACTGCAACCTTGCGGCAACTGTAAGATGCGGTCAAAACCGCAAGCACACTCACATCATTATCATGGGAGATTGCAGTGTACATTGTTCAGATGCCTCCGCTACAATAAGCGAACTATGCAAAGCAGATCTGCAAGAGCGTAGAAGCAGTGTTCCACGTGACATGCACATTGTTATATACACATCTTTCAACACGGGTAATATACCCGGTTTGCTCTCTCTGGTGTTCAACAAAGGGGATTATATGATTGATGCACTGGTAGTAGACTGCATTATTAGGTCGCAGTGATCGTGCATTCATCGGTTTCCACTTCAGTTGCTTTGCGCTCTATTTCCACCGGAACACTGTGATGGCACACAACATTACGCGCTGCGATTGCTTAGCCGAGGTCGCCAGTACAACAACTTGGTCTTTCCTCGCTTACGGTCACCAGGAAATCGCTTGGCTCGATTTAGTTGATGATTGAGACAATTTCATACGATCCACCATTAGGCAACAGTGACCACTCAGTGTTGAATTTTGCCTATGTGTGTTACGCCAATACTACTGAAATCAGACATGAAAACCGACGAACTATAACCAACTATTCCCTGCTGCACAGCCTAGCGACAACCGTCAACTGGGACCTCAATCTACAGAGCACGGCAGACGACGCGTGGAACGAACTAAAAGACAAAATTAGAGGTGTCACGCAAGCAGCGTCAAAAGTCATACCATTACGAGTGTCGCGCCGGACCAACACTTGGATCCGAAGCAGAACGCGTAAATGGATTAGCACCAGAGACGAGATCTGGAGACAATACGCGCTGAACCATTGCGACGCCACCTGGGAGAATTACAAGATAGTGAGGAACTATTGCACATCACTGATTAGAGCCGATAAGTACGAATGGCAAAAAAACATGGTACTTAAATTCACGAACAATACAAAACTGCTTTACAGGTACGTGAACAGCAGAAGAAAAGTTAAAACAGGAATACCACCACTCAAGACGGATGGTGGCCTAACGACTACTGCTGTGGATGCTGAGAACGCATTACTTCTGCAGTTTGGCACAGTGACTGCAAACGCCATAAAACCTTTGCCAAACCAGCATTCACCCAACGTGGTCGGCATATCAACTGTCACTTTTACCTCAGCAGCTGTCGCTAGCAAACTACGGTCTCTAAGAGAAAATAGCGCTCCGGGAGTCGACAAGATCAGACCCAAAGTTCTTAAAACTCTTGCTCCCACCATAGCAGCACACCTCGCAAGCTTTTTTCAAAGTCTACTCAATTCCCAAACACTTCCGTCTGAGTGGAAAAGCGGGATAGTCACTCCGATATACAAAGGAGGTAAGCGATCGGATCCTGCCAACTACCGACCCATTACTCTCCTCCGTGTGTTATCAAAAGTAATGGAATCGTTAGTTGCAGATGAAATTACGCGATATTTTGAGAGTCTGAAGCTAATTTCTCACCTCCAACACGGCTTTAGGCGCAAACGATCTTGCCTCACAAATCTGCTTCTTGCTCGGGATTCATGGACCAAAGCGCTTGATGAAGGATCCCCTTGATGTGATTTACCTAGACTTTTCGAAGGCATTCGACAGAGTCAATCACTTAGCTCTGCTTCATAAGCTTCGTGCCTACGGTAGCCATGGTTCCCTACTCACCTGGCTAGCAGCATATTTGCATGACAGAACGATCAAGGTCAGAGTCGCCGATGCCCTCTCGGAAACCCTCTGCATCTCCAGCGGTGTTCCTCAAGGATCCGTCCTTGGTCCCCTCCTTTTTCTGGTCTACATTAACGACCTCC